TTGGTCGGCCGAGCTTGTCATCAGTGCAATGCAAACGTGAGATGAACGTTTAAGAAGTGTCTTGTTGTAGTTTTAGTGATTTGTCTGTACATTTATTTGAACACCGTAAACATGTACGAGTTGTGGCTGTGTAATAAAATGACACAACAGGAATGGGCACTTGTGTTTTCAGCTAATACGTTGACATAGTAATGGTAGCTGCATTTGTGCCCTCCGCTCTCATCCGTTACTCCTAATCAGAGGTTTACGTGTAAACAGCAGACGGTTGGTTCGTCTGACAGCGGTCGAACATATGTCTGTAGCATTAAAAACTCTAATGTTTAAACCCAATATCTCCAGACGGCACTGGCCACCATTCCCCCCAGTCTGCTACTACAAGCTAGAGCCAATAATACTGTATTTAAACGTTAGCTTCGCCCCGGGTAAACATCCTGACGGACGGTAAACGTCTGCGGGGTCACGAAGATACAGTCAAAGATGGAACCCGCTGCCGGATAACAGTTAAAGAAGCAACGGTTAACGGTTGGGACCGTTATGAATCATTAAATGAATAGTTTCGCTAAAGATGTCGAACGTAACACTAGTTTCTTCAACTGACGTTTGCCGTTACGTGCGAGTAGGGGCGGCGCTACGTAACCTACGTAAGCTACGTCATCTCCGATTCTTCATTCCTCGCCCGCCACCGACACAAACATCGTAACGGTAGAGATGGCGACCAGTATGTCCTACGTTACCTAACCAAAAGCGATGTTTTTAAAAGGATATCCATCGGAGTGAGACTCTACCCTGTTGATTTCACACGGACCGAACAACCGGACAGTATGGAGGAACCCTGGGACTTTGAGTTTCTGTCCCGTATCGCTGACAGCTGCGTGTCGTTCCTCTCTGAGTTTGTTGACGACTGGCTCGCCAACGACATGAGAGTCTCCATATTCAAAATCCTACTCAGCTGGTTAATTTTTAGTCTTATCGCAATTCACTTCGCGTGGAAAGTCTACGGGAACACGGTGAACGATATGTATTATCGGCAAGGTGAGTTTTGTTTCTGACATCTCATCTGTTATGACTTTGCTAATCTTAGTGCTAAGCTGCGTTGAATCACCTCTGACTGTCTGGTTGATGTTCAGGTACTGGACAGAACGGGGGGACACCTGAGACAGCTCCTCACCTGAGTGGATGGTAGGTGTGAAAGCATACATGTCACTTCACACAGGTAGTTGAGCTTTCTCACACCGGTGCTTCAGTGCAGAAGCTAGATTTAGCGTGTTATTTTTCTATAATGCATTACTTCTGATTGACTGCCTGTTGTTCCACAGTTGAATGGATACAGTGCAGTTCATTTATCTCAGCTGAAGCTCAACATGTGTTACCAACAGATCAGTGAGGGTGTGGTTTTATTGTAATGCAGTTTAATTAGTAGTGACATTTCTGTTCTTCTTGCAGGGAAACCAGAGTAGGAGAGACCCTGAAGACTCACCGCGATTAACAGGACAATGGTCTTGGACTTTATCCAAATGAGAGCTGGACAGTTCGTAAATCTCCCAGAGACACTGAATGCATCCTCAGGTTCTGCTGAGGATATCTTTGGTGCATTCAAGATGCATGCACCTTCTGGCAGCTGCCTGGAGAAACATGTTATTGTTTTTCATGCAAACCAACGGTGATCCACTAAATCAACTTTATAGTGCTGTGAGATATTTATTTTGGCCTGTCAATATCTGTCGTTGAGCAGAACTCTGCATAAATACCTAGATTGATCTGTTTGGCTTAGTGGTCAACTTTTAAAAACATTTTTCACCCCCAAACACACAAATGTGAAAGATATTAATGGGTTTGTGTGTAAATTAAGGGTGCTTCAAGAACACTTCTGACTGCAAGCAAGAAATAAATAATTGGACCTGGAATTAAATGATGAATGGAAGAAAAGAAAAAAGTACCGGTAGTAGTTTTCAAGACAGAACACACAGGATAATGTGGATATGTTTTTAATGGTAATCCTGAAATGCCTCAAGAGGAATAAGTGAATGATGTGCATGTACCCAGTTATGATTAGGAAGATTATTTGACGTGGACAGGGTCATTTCTATCACTGCTATTTCATAAATAAAGCACATGGTCTGTTAGAATACAGAGCCATGAAAAGCAGTTCATGTCTGACATATTCAGTGATTTTCCATGAAACTTTTAACCACCAATGTTTTTCTCATCACATGTAAAGAGCCTGGCATGCACTGGAAGGAAGATACAGCGTCTGTCTAAAATATTCACCCCACCTTTGACTTTTTCATGTTTTTCTTCTACTCCTCCTAAATTAAGTACATAAAATACAAAATAATTGATTACAGAAACTCATTCACCCCATTTATAACATACCTGAAGTGCAGAATTTGAATGCAAATCATGTGTGATATCAAGGTGTAACAACTGATTTTGCTAAATGTATCTAAAAGGATCAGCAGTGGGTAAAAAAGTGCAGCATTCACATGTGCAAAGCTGAAACCAACCTATCCATGTCGGGTAGACTCAAGGCTGTAATTGCTGCCAATGGTGCCTCTTTGCTTGAGGAGGGCAAACATGCATATGTTTGAACTCAGTACATATTTAGCTTTTGAAATTAGTCTTTTTTGTTAATATGTATTAAAAATCGTAGTTAAAGCCACTTTGATTTAATGTAAAATAATAAAACATGAAAAAGTAAAAAGGGGTTGAACACTTTCTGTGTGCAATGTTAAGCCATCTTACAGTCAGATATTATAACTGTTGTAATGGTAAAGACAAGTCTGTAGTACAGTATAGTGTACTGCTGTGTGTATTTACAGACTTGTTTAATGATGTACACAGTCATTGTTAAATCAACCAAACAACAAAACCATCAGCTAATTTAGGTACCTTAAATTACCTGAAAAAAACAGCAGCAAAGCTGGATAAGAGACTGTAGGTTCTGTGAAAATACTGATATTACATTTGTTGTTTGAAAGTACCGATGTCATTGATGTCTCTTTTGCTCGAGTAGGAGTAGCAACTCCACTATTTATAAGCTTTTTGTTCCCTGCTGAAAGCTTGATGCTGATGACAAAACTGCCGGATTTTTAACAAACCCACTCCTATCTTAAACTTTGTGGCCGTTAGAACTTTATATAGAAATACCAGTCTTTTCACAGATACGGGCCAAAAAACTACACTACACTGCCAAAGTCAGACAGACAGTACTTTTATCTGGATATTTATCCAGATCCACTGGACTACAACCACTTTATTTTGTGTGCTCCTGTTAACTTATGTTAATAGGAATTGGTGGAATAAGTAGCATGTGCACATCCATCACATTGGTGCAGGTTAAGCCAGGTACGAGTAAGCGCTGCCCGGCAGAAAGACGTGTAAAGAAAGTGTAAGAATCGTTGTTAGTAAGGAAGTTGTCGATGTCCAGCCCCTGTGCTTGTGCCTCTCCATACAACCCCCCATCAGTGATAGCCCCTGCTGCCTCTGTTGGTCCATCCTGACCATCAGTCCCACCACTCAGGAAGACAGGACCATTAGGCGGGAGCTCCAGCCCTCTCAGCTCCAGCCCCACTCTCAGGGCCAGCTCCTGGTTTCGACCACCTCGACCCTTGCCTGTCAGCTCCACAGTGGGCTCACCTCCGGCTAACAGACACGTGGCACCCCATCCTTCTGTACGTCCTTCTTCCAAGACCTGCATGGTACGGCAGAGGTCCCAGCTCTCCACGCCCACTTCAGGCCCCAGTCTCAGCATCTCAGCGGCAATCTCTGGAGGAGGTTCCACTCGAGAACAGGCGAATCGGGCCAGGAGGCCGTACAGCCTGGAGACTGACCTTACGTCGCCACACACTCCTGGTGCCAGAACAACAGGGCAGAAACCTAGCTCTCGAGCTCGACGACCTGCGCACTTCAGAGCAACACTGTTGGAGCCAATCACAGCATTGAGAACATGTCCTGACGTGGTAGATTCATTGGTATTATCCCGGGGACTTGGTCTCCCGAGGACATCCTTTACTGAGGCTGGTAAAGAGTTCAACAGTTTGTAACGTTCAAGGACTGACAAAACTTCTTCAGGCCACACTTCACTCTGCACTGTGGGGCCGCTGGCTATCAAGTCCAGAGGGTCCCCAATCACATCAGACAATATCAGTGCAATCACCTGTGAAGAAGTGATTAGAGGAGTAATATCAAAAGTACAATGCTGGAATGAGCGTAAAATAAAAAGCTGGTTAAAGAAAAGTGTGTTACCTGGGCAGGGTGAGCACAGTTTGCAAGCCCTCCACCCTTTAAGAAGGACAGGGCCCGTCGCACAGTGTTCAGTTCTTGAATCGTGGCGCCGGCACCTGCAAGTTTGCGGGTAACATCCAGTTTCTCTTGCAACGAGATTGGCGGGATGGGCGCAGGTAGTAGCGCAGAACCTCCACCTAGACACATTGCGTTAGAAATGTACATTTCAGTGTATGATTTTGTAAAGAAAAAGCAACAAGAGGACATATATTTTCACCTGAAATCAGTACAAGCAGCAGATCTTTCTCCGTCAGTTCACTGGCCAACTGCTTGATCCTTTCAGCTGCTTTCTGGGCATCAGCGTCAGGTAAGTTGTGTTTAGCTCCCTCCATTACTTTGATGCGACTGTTTTCTTTTAACAACAGATGACTGTGATGGAAGGGAGAATTTTTATTATGTAGATGAATCTTATTTTCTGTGTAATACTTTGACTTGTTTACATCCTAAGGCATTTGCTTACTGTTTCCCATGCTGCTGTAATGTCTGCTGAATCCCATGTGGCACGCTTATTATTCCTTTCACTAAGTGATCCCCCACAATCCTCTCTGCCTCGGCAGCCATACCCAGTACAGCTTTTCCAAAGCCCACCAAGTGCAGGTTGTGTTTGAGTATGAATTTGTGACCATCGATAACGACTGAGTCCTCCTTGCGCTCTATACTCTGCCGCACCACAGTGTCTGGCTGCACAGCTTCCACCGCAGCTGCAAACACCCCACGCGCCCGTGAGTCCATTGACATTTTGCACAAGGTAGGTTTTCTCCTGCCCACCAGGGACAGAAAAGGCTGAAGCCGGAACAGGGAAAGCACACGGGCCATGGACAGTTCAGAGGGTCTGAGCACAAATTGCCTGAAAGATTAAAGATTCACGTCAATGTTTATAAAGATGGTGTCAGTGTCAGCAGTACTCACTACACTGCTGGACTGCATGCTGTTGACAAGCAAACATATATCAAGGTGAGATACTGACACAATGAGCATGGTGCACTGACAAGAGAATAAGCCTAAAGATTAAAATGCCAGTGACCTTTGCAATGTAAGTAATACATTTAACAGCTGATGGATCAAAGCCTAAAACACTATGGCTACAAGGAATCTATATTTCAATAGTAATATCTTTAAGTTAAGTTGTAAACATGTTGTAACTCTGTTAAAATCTTACCCCTCGTTAAACCTGAATACCTGAGAGAGTGTGTGTTGCTGTTGCATACCTGTTCTACTCACATACATTTGTTCACGTGCTGCCTTATTTTTACAGGCTGAGAAGGAAGTTTACCCACCATTGCCTACTGTTTGTGTTTAATTAACCATACTTTACATCATCCTAAGCTAGTTACACATTTCCCTGTAAGAGAACTTCTGAGAACCGATGAGGCTGCCTACCTGTGAAGGTTGTAAATGTGATATAAAGCCTGTGGAGTCCTGTGGAAGCCTGTTATATGTGCTCCAGCTCAGCAGTCAGGCAGTGTTGCAAAAATCTGACCAGACACTGACTTGGGTTGTGTACCCTTTGTGTAATGATTGACTTGAATGGACCACAGGACACATCAAACCACTGACCAGCTGCTCGTTTGTCTCTGCCCCCCCACCAACCCCCCGACTGGGTGTAAAAAAAAGAGGGTTAAGTTACACTAGAAGTTAGTTCAGGGCTGCTATAACAGTGAACACAGTGGTGAAATACATGAGCATATTTTCTGACAGACTTTGGAGCTGTTTATGCTGCAGCATAGTCCAAAGGGTACACACCCTAAAGGTAGTTTACACTGAATGCATGTTGTGAAGACACCTGCATTAATGCTCTTAAACCCAAACACGTCAGTGAGACATGAAAGAGTGCACTGTGTGTTTATGACAGCTGAGAGCCACCCTCACTTGTAGAAATGTCTTTTTGATATGTTTGACAATATTCAGAGCCATATGCAGTATTTAATAACAAAAGAAAAGTATGACAGCTTGTCATACTTTAGAGTGAGAATTTGTGAGTATTTATTATATCCTAAGAAATAGCACACTGCCCACAGGGTGTGGATGATATAAATTAGTCAACCATCAGTTATTGTTTATTGTGATACTGTTTATACTGGCGGTTCCCTTTAACATCTCTGGTTGCATAAGACCATTGTGGACAACAAATCAAAGAGCAGGACAGATTTATAGTAATTATTTGATATAGTAACCAATTTTCCAGAAAGATGTATCAGGATACAGTGTTTGGCAATATAAAATTACATATACAGTCATATAAGTTTGTAACTCATAATCCACAAATGGTAAAATCTTAAAATAAACATATTTGAAACATTTGTTTGCTATTTATGGATAAATTAAACCAATACAACTATGACATTATTTTTCATGATGTGCCTTTAAGTGTTAATGCACAGTATGTCATTCTGGACAAGCAAGCGAGTTTGCACTTAAACTTGTTTTAATATACTTTTACACTTGACAATTGTTGAAAGAGTTTAATTTTAGACAATACGTTGTATTTATTTCCAGTTGCTAAGGTTACATGAGTTATAATGTTTTCAGGTCAAAATGGTGGGCAAACCGAAATCGAACCTTCAACCGATTCTATTTCAAACCGACCCGAACGTGAACCGTTCTATGTGACGTTCTATGCACGTTACCATGGACACCGTCAATCTTTTACACTATCCGAGAAAATCTGTTCGCACTGTTGACAAGAAACACACGGGCTGATGATTAAAAACGGTTAAAGTTGCTTCATACCTCAGACTCCTGCGGTGACAAACCCCTTGTTGTTGTTTTCTTCTTCACTTCTGAGTCCATTTTGATTGCTGGTGAAAAACCTGGAAGCTGTCAGAAAACAATAGTTTGACACACACAAGGCTCTGAATGTGGGAGAAAGTGCTGGACCCCTGAGCGGCAGCTGCTAACACAGTTTCAGACCAGGTCTACAGGGACAAATAGTCCGGTTGGGTGCAAATGAGAGTCAGAAAGTAAAATACTGCTTTATCCTGTCTGTGAAGTCTACTTTATTTTGTTAATTTAATTAATTATATTGGTGTATTAACGCGCATTCCTTTGGTTTTTCTGTTGTTTTGGACTCGTCGTACAAGCGCACACACCAAATATCGCGATAACTGTCTCCGACCTAATGCGCGCGTCAGATGATGAATATGCGCGTCACCGACGTGGCGAAGGCGGTGCTTTTCCCTCCTCCTCTCTGCTGTGAATCACAAGTACCACCGGCGGGCTTTCGTCGCTGTTTTTGAATCATACTTCTTAAAAAAAAAGAGAGAATTGGTAGCACAATTACAGTTTATATATATATATATATACACACGAATTACCATTACAGGGGACTTCTGTAAGCCGGGTTTAAAGTGAAACGAGGGCCTGCTTCCCCTCAGACACAGACAGAGGCCGTCATGAAGCTCACGGACAATGTGCTGCGGAGCTTCAGAGTTGCTAAGGTGTTTCGGGAAAACTCAGACAAAATTAATTGTTTCGATTTCAGTTCAAACGGAGAAACAATCATTTCCAGCAGCGACGACGATTCGTTGGTGTTGTACGACTGCCAAGAGGGGAAGTAAGTGCGGTTTTGTCCTTTTTTTCCTCTATTGTTTTTGACGTTGGCTACTTGCTATGCTACCTAGCCAGGCCTGCTGCACTGCGATAATACTGTGTGAGGCGTAAAATGTCTGTGTGTGCATGTAGTTTGAAACATTATGTCTGAGCTTATGTAATATTCTGTGTCCATCATAGTGCTTGAACACAATCTGTTAAAATATAATTAAACGCTACTAATCGTTAGGTATGTTTGAGTTGGTTAAAAACATTATAACAGGGCGGCTACTAACGTGTAAATGAAATGATCAATATAGACTATCGGTGTTTTTGATTTCAAATAGGGCTGACATTATTAGTTAATGTACAGAAAATAAATCCCCAACTAAATGTGAACATTTGCTTCTTTTCTTCATTTTATAGTATAATATGATGTATATATTGAGTATTAGGGCTGCACAATATGGTAACAAGATCATATTGTGATTATTGTGATAGATACTGTAATTGATGGTTAGTTTTTCACTGTAAAACTATAAACCATATTGGTGTGACATTTGTTGGGGTCTGCGACATGTTTTCTTACATCTGAAGAACAAGATTTGTAGGCCAGGGTGTCTCTGCAGAACTAAAGTAGTTCATTATAATGCTATTTAATATAACATTTCAGCGTCTGTGCTTTGCATATTGCACTTGGCTGTATTATTATTAATATTTTGATTAATTTGCTGAATAAAAGAAGGTGTTTGAAGATGACAATCTGAAACTGTGACAAGCACTGTTGCTGTAGATCAACAATGACTCAGTCAATAAGAAAAAGTGACCAGTGATTAGCATAAGTGTTATGCTATAAATATTAAACGTTCTTCACAAAATGTCAGAGCTCAAAGCGTATATGTCTTTAAAATTGCTGACGAGAAGCCAAAAAATCTCTCAGCGTTCAGTACGAGAAGATTTAAAACAAAGACGAGTATCTCTGCACAAGTCTGCACTTTTTTATGTGTTCTGTAATATTGTGAAACGGCAAGTAATAGAAGGAGACGGCTAGCTTATATCTCAGCATGGATTGATGTCTCTTAGTGATTCGAATGCTTATTCACTCTCATTTTTCTCCCCTTTCTGTAATCTAACTCATGGCAGACCCAAGAGGACCCTTTACAGTAAAAAGTATGGAGTGGATCTGATCAGGTACACACATGCTGCAAACACTGTGGTCTACAGTTCCAACAAAATCGATGGTATGTTGATGCACAAAATATTTGTTGGTAGTTTCTTTTCTTCCTCTTTGGTAACGCAGCATGGATATGTTTCAGTATGTGTTGTTCTAGTTGGACTGTTGAGACGTCGACCGGAGGTGGATGTTTACAGGATGCCGTGCCGCTGTGGCCTGTTTGTGGGAGACACTCTGCTCACTTTGGTCTGAGGTAGTTGTTTGTACAGTTTGAGGGTCTGTGATTCTGCCCCATACAGGAGCTAACTGTACAAGTGACTGCCTTGCCCACAGTTGAGTCAACACGTCAGACCTGCCTGTAATCAACTTCGTATTTGGATGTCAGCTCGTTTCTTGCCGGTCAAATTTGATGTACAACATGATAATTATGTTATTGTTATTCTTGAAGATACTATCCGGTACCTGTCCCTTCATGACAACAAATACATCCGCTACTTTCCTGGGCATAACAAAAGGTGAGGACTGGATTTATGCTGGCCTGTCTGTACCTTGATTCGATGTAAAGTGTTGAGTTGGAAGTTCTTGTTTTCTCATTTTAATTTTATTTTTATGTTTTGTTTGTGAACAGAGTGACCTCTCTCTCCATGTCTCCTGTGGACGACACATTTATTTCTGGCTCATTAGATAAAACAATCAGACTGTGGGATTTGCGGTCCCCTAACTGCCAGGTGAGTAACTTTTTGTGTGGTGAGCATCCATTAGTGTTGCACTAATATGACAATTGGGAAAGATAAAACCAATTCTGACCTTGTCTTGTCTTCTATCAAATTTAGGGTCTGATGCACCTACAGGGGAAGCCAGTGTGTTCCTTTGATCCAGAGGGCCTCATTTTTGCTGCTGGAATAAATTCAGAGATGGTTAAACTTTATGATCTGCGGTCGTTTGACAAAGTAAGAATTGTTTGTGTGTTATGAGAGAGGGAGCTCTTCCATGATGTGTGTTCTATGTGTGTCTAATATTTGAAGTAAATAACTTAAATTTAAATTAGCGAAATATTCATGACTCCTTGTCAACAGGGCCCCTTTGCAACCTTCAAGCTTCAGTACGACCGGACATGCGAGTGGACAGGACTCAAGTTCAGCAATGACGGAAAACTCATTCTTCTTTCTACTAATGGCGGAGCCCTTCGCATCTTAGACGCTTTTAAGGGTGCTGTGCTACATTCCTTTGGGGTAAGAGACGACTCTTCGTCATGCACAATGTGTGGCAACACTTGTTACTTGAAAAGAAAACACAGACAAATACACAAACACATCTATATCACACTACAGCGTGTCAGTGTAAACATTTGGAAAACCCACACACCCGTTCAATGAACAAGCTTAAACAAATTGAAACAGTGAAGTTCGTTTTGTTTTTTTTGAGGTTTTAATACTAATCCGCATAATCTGCTGTTCATTTACCCACAGGGCTACAACAACAGTAAAGGTGTAACGCTAGAGGCATCATTCACTCCGGATTCTCAGTTTGTTATGATTGGTAAGTTAAGATCGCCCTTTCTGAAATAGATTCATATTTTATTTTATCTAAGGAACAACACCAAAATGTTGACTCTCAAAATGTTATCACGAGCATAAACAACCCTAGTCAGTTGGTTTGAATTATACTAAAGCCACATATAGACAAAGAAATACTAGGAGTTGTCTGAAGTACATAAATCAATTCCTAAGTCATAGTGTCGCTGCACAGCGAACATTTAGCAAATTAAATCAAAACATGCTATGCTGAGTGTACCAGAAGGCCAGTAAATCTATGAAATGGTGATGCAACAGTTGATCCATGATCCCACAGTTCACCACCAACCATGGACTAAATTTAAATCGTAGTGTGAAATACAGTTTTTATGGTAATAATTCCCTAAATCTCAGTGCAGAGTTGCAGTGAGAAGAGAAGACAGATGTGTGCTGTTTAACTCTGGAAGAGTGTGAGAAAGTTTAGGGAAGAGCGACTAACTAAAAAGCTGTCGCTCTCTGCACTGAGAGAAATCCCATAGTCATAGTGACTTTTGGCATTTTCAGTGGTGGAACTGTGCGTGCTGGTTATCACAGTGTATCTGCTATACTGTACAGTATTATATTTAGCACTACTGTGGTGGCAGCTGCATCAGAGCCAGAGTGGCTCATTTTTAACTCCAGCCCCTTCTCACACGGTCACACTCTCAACGAGTCCAGACACACTCGGCTAACCTTCAGCAGCGATATCTTCAGCAGTCAGTACTTTAGTAATGGACTTCTTTACAACAGGCTGCTCTGGGGGCCGAAAAATGATTTAATCCTTGACTCAAAACTGTGATACAATCTAATTTTGTGATCTCTTGCACCTCTACTGTCACACATACCATCCTTTATCTCTTTTTGTTGTTGTTTTTTAGAGAATCCAGGTCCTAGCTATCCTATAACTGTGCCAACATATTATCAAATGTTTGTTGTGTCCATATTTTTCAGGCTCGGAGGATGGAAAGATCCACGTGTGGAATGCAGAGAGCGGTATGAAGGTGGCTTTATTAGACGGGAAGCACACGGGACCGATTACCTGCCTACAGTTCAACCCCAAGTTCATGACGTTTGCAAGTGCCTGCTCCAACATGGTGAGTGATGGCGGCAGTATGGAGTGAGTTACTGAAGCAGATTACAGTGATTACTGAAGCTGCATTAGAGGGTTTAACATGATGGCCATCTAAGTTGTTTTAGGGGAATTTAGTGCCAATAACATGTTTATGTAATGTGATGTTACTAAACTGACTACTGCTACTTCTTGAGCCACAGGAGGCTCATTATACAACAAAATGAATGTTTGCAGGTCATCCATAGTACACACATGGAAAAAGATAATCTATATCTACACGCCTTCTTCTTAGTCACATTGTTACACTGTTATTGGGTCATTCATAACACACCTGATGCCCACAGTGACTCAAATGTAACACTGTACACACTTGATACAACTGCACGCTGCTCATGTGGGTGATTGTGA